TATTGGGTAATGTTAAGCCCCCCCCCCCCCCCTAGTGTTTACATTTCAAACTGAAAGAAACTATTGTATTATTATTTCAAGAAAATTGAAATGTGGTGATCCCCAAGTGACAATTCCTAGTTTTCATCTTTCTAGTTGTCACATTGGATTAAATCACAGGGAACAATATAGTTCTGAGCATTACATCAAGTTGTTCAAAAACTGTGGTCGTCCACAAGTACAACATCTTATGAGAAACTTTGAACCGTTTTTCTGTCTTTTTCTGTCGGTTAGACAAATATTTATCACTTCAAAGATATTGATCATGACTTGGTTTGCGTAATGTTATACTAGGAATCAAATTGATATATGAGATTAGAATAACAGTCATTTATTCAAAATTCTGCATGAACTCCATAAAGTAAATAAACATTGAAATGTCAATGTCTAAGAAATATAATAAATACATGTGTTCTGTTGTTTTAAATTTACTACAAGTAACATTTACTTTTCAAAACATGTGGATAAAAATAATTCAGTGTAATGCTGTGAACTCACTATTTAATAAGGAGTGTTTGTAACAACACAATTTCATGAAAAGTCACCTTTGTTTTAATCTTTTCACCACAAGACTTTCTCAGCCAAAATTTGTTTGCATGTTTTTTTTACTTGTGTTCTTCAATATTTCTGGAAATAAACCCTAATTTTGAAGCTAACAGACAAAATTTGAGTCAATTTTCAGTTTTACTCAAAACATTTGGCTATTTTTGTCCCAATCTTCTGAAGGAAAGTGCAGACTATAAACAGAACTATTTTGTGAATTTGTGATGAAAAGAGGGAACTGGTGGTGAAAAGGTTAAGACGCTCGGAGTAAAATCCTGCTATAATATTTCATGATTTTCCCTAACCCATATAATTCGTCCTCCAAATTTAAGTCTGTTTACAGTTGTTTCTCTATACTTGATTTCAATTTTACTAGATAGTTATTATGAATCTAAGATACCCTTGAAGACAAATGTGTATAGGTCTACTGTAAAACGTGTCTTTTTAGCTAGTATGGTATTTTAGCTACCAGTAATTTAGCCAAACTGTAACTTCGCTAATTCGAGATGTCGCTAATTTGAAAGAAAGTCTATTTCTCAATATGAGATTGTTGGCACTTCAGCTAAATTAAGATTATGTGAACTCATGCATTGTGTAAAACACACAAAAATAGCGTGTAGTTATTTCAATATACTTTATAACATATGGGAGAAAAAATTATTAAAGTGAGAAACTGGAGAATGGAAACTGTTAAAATGCTCATTTGGTGCAAAATTCTGTTAACATTCAGTGCATGTACTTCACCCAACAAGCTGTTTAACCTTTGCAGTAATTTAGGGTGTTTAAAGCAGTAATCAAGATACTTTGCTATATTTGACTTGAAATAACACTATACTGTAAGACGCCTGCCAACAGACTTGTGTGTACACAAAAGGTGGGTCTATGTTTATTTTAGAAATGCTCACTACATGTATGGTATGCATGTTAAAAAACACATTATGTTAATAAATAACTTCAGTAATGTTTTCTTCTCTTTTCACACGGTGATGTTAGTCTATAGCGGGTGGCTACGCTGTGATAACATACTCCAGCCTTTTTGAAATAATTACAACTGTCACTCATAGTTAAACGCATTGCTTGCTGAAAGCCTCCACTGAATGAATGGGGCAAAAACAGCATCAGAGTTGATATGTTAAAGACACCAACATTTGAGTTAGTCAAATATGCTATCCATAAATGATAATGTGAAAAAATAAAAAAACAAATCTCGTTGACATTTAGAGTGTGGTGCCCACAATTTTCAAAAGTTGAAAAGAGTCACTCATTGCAATATTCAAAAAAGCCTGATTCAAGCATGCTGGTAATGGTAATACTGGGAAGGTATAGATGAGTTCTCACATCTAGTATAAGTGAATAACACAAATACAAACAACAGAAGGACAAACAATGTTAATGAAAGTAAATCTGTTCTGCATGCATAATTCAAACCAGTACTTACACACAGCCTCAAATACCCTACTTTACGCATAGCACATCTTGCAGTCAACCACCAGGCATCCTCCACAAAAAGGATTACAAAACAAACTAGAGTTAATTCACCAATACAAAACTGGATGGTTTTCACTAAGTAAAATCTTGCTGAAATATTTTTCTAAAATGACATGCCTTTTAAAAAAGGGATTATTTCCATATACACATCTAAGTCCTGTGGCATGTTGAGGTACCATTCAGAGAAATCTTGTACATGTATAAAACCAGTGTCTATTCATTACTCAACCTATTTGTACATCTTCTGAAAGCTTACAGGAGAAAACACACACATATATTATGGAATATTGTTTATTTAACTGCTGATGCAATGGAGAATCTCTTGTAAAAAAACATTTCATTGTGCGTACTCAAAATTTCAAAGTTATAGCTTGCTGAAATTGTTCACAATAGTATCATGGGATGCAAAATGCATTCTGGATTTATATTGTCTGCATTTGTTTTCACAAAAACAGCATAAAAGGTAAAAAAAAGCCACTATAAGTCAGGAATATAAATATTTCAGAGCTTGTAATTTGAAAGCAGACATAGATCTGAGACTCAATTTGTTACTTCATCATTTTGCAAAACAAATTTAGTGATCAAAAGTGCATCTCTTCTGTTAAAAGAAGATTTCTTTTTCACACCTATTTACCAGATTCTTCATTATATATTAGTTTATGTGAGCTGGGCTTCAGCTAATAGTGATATAGTTTTTGACATGGTGCAGAATACTACGCGATTTGTTTCATCACTTGGCAAATGATGCTAATATTATAGAAGATCACAGTATTTGTCTGATTCGCATACCACTATTCTATATGTAACAGTTATTTACCACAAAACATTTTTTTCTGATGTCTAATTTAATTTTCTACTGGGTTTTGACATGTTTATAAATAATAATTACTTCTAAAGAATATTTGGTTGAAATTCCTCTTTTTTAATTTTAGTGAAAAATGCGATTTGTGGTAGCCAAATCTAAAATTAATTCATTATTGGCTGGTGAGGGGGTTAATGGAAGCCCTTCTATTGGCAACTAGTGAGGGGTTAGTGGAAGCCCTGCCATTGGCAACTAGTGAGGGGTTAGTGGAAGCCCTGCCATTGGCAACTAGTGAGGTGTTAGTGGAAGCCCTGCCATTGGCAACTAGTGAGGGGTTAGTGGAAGCCCTGCCATTGGCAACTAGTGAGGTGTTAGTGGAAGCCCTGCCATTGGTAACTAGTGAGGGGTTAGTGGAAGCCCTGCCATTGTCAACTAGTGAGGGGATAGTGGAAGCCCTGCCATTGGCAACTAGTGAGGTGTTAGTGGAAGCCCTGCCATTGGCAACTAGTGAGAGGTTAGTGGAAGCCCTGACATTGGCAACTAGTGAGGGGTTACTGGAAGCCCTGTCATTGGCAACTAGTGAGGGGTTAGTGGAAGCCCTGCCATTGGCAACTAGTGAGGGGTTAGTGGAAGCCCTGTCATTGGCAACTAGTGAGGGGTTAGTGAAAGCCCTGCCATTGGTAACTAGTGAGGGGTTAGTGAAAGCCCTGCCATTGGCAATTAGTGAGAGGGTTAGTGGAAGCCCTGCCATTGGCAACTAGTGAGGGGTTAGTGGAAGCCCTGCCATTGGCAACTAGTGAGGGGTTAGTGGAAGCCCTGTCATTGGCAACTAGTGAGGGGTTAGTGAAAGCCCTGCCATTGGTAACTAGTGAGGTGTTAGTGGAAGCCCTGCCATTGGCAACTAGTGAGGGGTTAGTGGAAGCCCTGTCATTGGCAACTAGTGAGGGGTTAGTGAAAGCCCTGCCATTGGTAACTAGTGAGGGGTTACTGGAAGCCCTGTCATTGGCAACTAGTGAGGGGTTAGTGGAGGCCCTGCTATTGGCAACTAGTGAGGGGTTAGTGGAAGCCCTGCTATTGGCAACTAGTGAGAGGGTTAGTGGAAGCCCTGCCATTGGCAACTAGTGAGGGGTTTGTGGAAGCCCTGCCATTGGTAACTAGTGGGGGGTTAGTGGAAGCCCTGCCATTGGCAACTAGTGAGGGGTTAGTGGAAGCCCTGTCATTGGTAACTAGTGAGGGGTTAGTGGAAGCCCTGCCATTGGTAACTAGTGAGGGGTTAGTGGAAGCCCTGTCATTGGTAACTAGTGAGGTGTTAGTGGAAGCCCTGCCATTGGTAACTAGTGGGGGGTTAGTGGAAGCCCTGCCATTGGCAACTAGTGAGGGGTTAGTGGAAGCCCTGTCATTGGTAACTAGTGAGGGGTTAGTGGAAGCCCTGCCATTGGCAACTAGTGAGAGGTTAGTGGAAGCCCTGTCATTGGCAACTAGTGAGAGGGTTAGTGGAAGCCCTGCCATTGGCAACTAGTGAGGGGTTAGTGGAAGCCCTGCCATTGGCAACTAGTGAGGGGTTAGTGGAAGCCCTGCCATTGGCAACTAGTGAGAGGTTAGTGGAAGCCCTGTCATTGGCAACTAGTGAGAGGGTTACTGGAAGCCCTGTCATTGGCAACTAGTGAGGGGTTAGTGGAAGCCCTGCCATTGGTAACTAGTGAGGGGTTAGTGGAAGCCCTGCTATTGGCAACTAGTGAGGTGTTAGTGGAAGCCCTGACATTGGCAACTAGTGAGGGGTTAGTGGAAGCCCTGCCATTGGCAACTAGTGAGGGGTTAGTGGAAGCCCTGCTATTGGCAACTAGTGAGGGGTTAGTGGAAGCCCTGTCATTGGCAACTAGTGAGGGGTTAGTGGAAGCCCTGCCATTGGTAACTAGTGAGGGGTTAGTGGAAGCCCTGTCATTGGCAACTAGTGAGGGGTTACTGGAAGCCCTGCCATTGGCAACTAGTGAGAGGTTAGTGGAAGCCCTGCTATTGACAACTATTGAGTGGTTAGAGGAAGGTCAGTAATGAATATGTTTTATGGCATTAATAAAATTATTTATGTGAAGTGTTTTATTTAAGCAGATTTGATGTTTCCAGGACATTTACTAGTGTTTATGCAAGACACAGTATATTCTATGTTTAACTTTACATATTTACTGGGCTTTACTTTGGCTGATTTTGCTATCAGTAAAATAAGCAAAAAATAAAACCCACCAAATCACACCAGTTGCACTAGTGTCCTTGCAATTTAATCGAAACAAAATTTGATAAGTTGTAAGAAAAATATACCAAGAAGTAAGTAACCTTCCACAATATATATGTTATTTTGTATTATATATTTAATAAATATTTTTTTTTTTCAATTTTTATAAAATTTTGAAATCTCTGAACAATATCTACAATCACTTTATCGTAATCTGTTGGTTATGTTTAAAATTTAAATTACAGAAAATTACAAAAATCTTGCAAATATTTGCGCTAAAATTGTTGGTGAAAACAAAATCTGGTTGTATAAATGTAAATCAGACACATTCAAAGCAACCATGAAATTCAGCCTTCTGTTGGTACAGCTGCTCCCAATGGATTAAAAATTACTAGACCCTTGATTTGCAGGCTCTCCAGCTATCGGTAATATCCAGGGACTTGTATTTAAAAACAGTGCCCTCTACAGTACATTGACACATGCAGAATCATCAAGGCTGTTATTGTGCATGTGATAATGTACATTGTAAAGATTGAATAGTTTATTCAGCCACTTGAAGAGTTCATCCATTGTTGTTTAAACTGGCCTTGTAAAAAATAAGGATAGATGCCTAACGCTCCTATTGTAGTTAAATATTAATGGATTCCAAAGCAAGTTTCAACATGTCCGTTTGCTTACACAAACCCTATAAAGTTTTCTGAATTTGAAATCTGTCATTATTCTTACACAGTCCTAGGATATAGTAGTTTCATGACCATGTATTTTTCCTGCCGTACTTTTCGCTGCTTGTCTTTAATAATTCGTGTGATATTTATGGCGAGTCGCTTATTAACGTTCTATGGAATCACGTAATAAGGTACAAAATAATTATTTTGGGGTTTTTATCTCAGTCTTAGGTTCACTGTGTTGCTGTTGTCTCTGTAATTCCTGAAAATGCTATTTCCTCTTGTTTGTTTAATAAGTATATCCAAATAACACACTAAAGCTGATCTGCTCGATTGTGGATACAACAATTAGGTTTTTTATTCTCACGAACATGACAACATTTTTTTTAGTTTTCTCATTCCTGACAACAGTAAAGCAAATACTACAGTTATCAATTTTCTAGCTTCTAAGCTAAAACTTATTGTGGGTGCTGAAGTCAGAGCTTTTCTAATGTGATGATCTTGGTTTATGCTTGGTTTTCTGTAGTTAACAAGCAACTGTGTTTTGTCAGCATTCAACCATTACTATGTACTTTAAAAACTGTTGTCTTATTTACCACTTATATGTTAGCAAACCCCGTGGCATACAGTTGTACCATAGGCCTATTTTGCCTGAATATAACTGGTTTACGTGTACAAAGAAATAATACATTATTTAAAACCTTTGTTGTTTGAATTTAAAGGGAACAGACATCTTGGAAATTGGGTTGTTTAATTAAAATATTCAATTGATCTGTCAGTTTGGTTTGCCAATATCGATGTGGCGTATCAAAGACATTGTTTCCAGTAACATCTGTGTACAAATTGGCAGACCGGTACACATCTGTAATCTTTAAATTTAGTAAACATCTGAAAAAGTTTGTTTTTGAGATGGTGTCCAAGAATACTCTAGCTTCAACCATGTGAAACTGATCCTGTCTGTGGACGTTATTATTGAAAAGTCTTTAGGTGTTGTTTTAGTGCTTGCATCGGTGAGCATTTCAACACCGTAAGTACTGTTTGTCGGTAAAGAGACTTGTCCTCCCCAAAACATGCATGGATAGACTATCAAACAGATTATAGGTGCATTTGGTTATGTGGAGTCAGATCTCCATGGCATGTATTGATGAGAAAGGAACCACAGAGAATAGAATCCTTGAATGGAACATTAAATATGTGGCCATGCGTGGTGTTGTGTTTGTGGTCATCTTGTGTACGAAGCCTTAGAAATTTAATTTAAAAAACAACAGCAATTCAATCTTCTTCTAGTGGTGTTGAAACTTAGTGTAATTCTAGAGACTAAGTTTTGAATAGTTTAAGGTGACAATCATAGCATTGTTCTGTGCTTGTATAAGCGTTAATGATACAACCACGTTTCTCTCTCGTGTGGCCTTGGTCAATTTAATGTGATGCCAATCTGCCTTTACATCATGGGGTTTTCATTTCAGCACGAAAAAATGGCTGCCTTTCTTTTGTATAGTTGTCGTTAAGAAGTTACCTGAGACTAAAAGAGAAATTGATCTTTTGTTTTATAACCTTAGCCAGTGTGCTATATACTGATCATGTGAATGTCAAAAAGTATAAACATATTAATTCTTTAAATGCTTTAAAAACAGAACTGGGACTTATATATTCTCCAAATAATGGTTTTTACAATAAATCACAAATCTAAAGTAGATTTACACGAAGACGTGTCTGTGTGGTGAATGCCATTCATTTACTGTACAAGTAAGATTCAATCCCCATTATTCACTGTATATTATTTCATGCTAATTTCATTTTCGTTTTTGATCCGGTACATTCACCGCCAGTGATCCACACATGATGTGGGTGTAGAAGGTGGTTGACCTCTCTGTTAGTCGTTGGAACTACTTTTTGAAAACATTTTTCAATCACCGCATTAATCTACATATGAATGCACCACGACTTCATCCTGTCAAGTACTACTGTGTGTAAAGGAATTTAAAAATCAGTTAATCTGTTTAATTAAAGAAATTTAATTAACAGTTATGTTAATGATGTGTGTTTAGTTTAAAACTATGTGTATTGTTTTCATTGCAGGTGGGTTTCGGGTCGTGGAACTGATGGCCGAATAAAGCACTATCTATTGAAAATAAAAGACAATTTCCAATGAAATGTAAGCATGTGGACACTGCTGTGCCGTGTGCCGCGATGAAAGACTCGTAAATCTTCATACTAGGGGAGTCGCAAATTGTGGATATTTGTAAAAGACTAGTTTTTATTTTGCAAAACAAGTTGAATGGGGAGCATGCGTTGACCACAGAGCTAAAATCTCACTTTAAATAGAAGGTGGAGGATATATAGAGAGAACAAAAGAGTAGGTAGTCAGGTATTGTGTTCTCACTTCCTGTCATCTTTACATGGTGTGTTTACTGATTGAATGGCAACCATGGTAAGTGCTAATAGAATGTGGTGCCTGAATACCCTGACCGTTGTGTCCACTGAAGTCACCATTCATTGGGTACAGACAAGGTACACAATCGTGCATAATTCCTGCCCCTGGAAATCATACATATCTAAGACATGTTTGTTGTGTTGCATTTATTTGAATGGGTAAACAGGGTCAACTTTAAGCCATCAATGGGAATTTATCACCCAGAGCACTTTTTCTTTTTATGTTTCGTCATGAAGTGTGTGTATGAATGGAAGATAAATTGTCTTGTGAGGGCGCTTTAATAAGGGGCTGTCAAACCATCGAGAATACAAAATTATACGTCTATCATTATTTTAAAATTTATAGTTTTGACTTATGGCTTCTCAAGTACCATTCCCATGTCAGTGGTAAAAAAGTCACATTATTTTTACTTTACTGCCTTCATCCTTCACAAGAAATTTAAATTGAGCAGACATCATTAATATAAACTACTAGTATTTTCTTTTTGTAACAAATCTTTTTCAATAAATTGTATCTTGTAGTCCAATTCTGGTGAAATTCTGATGCAATGCAATGGATTCAAGTCGCGTGTTTTTGTTGAGGAGAAAGATGGGTACTCATCAACGCTCAACAGGTGAGAGATTGTTACTGCTACACATAGCTGTAAACCAGTGATTTATTTATTTATTCAATAAATTTATTATCATCATCCTATACTGTTTGCTTAACTGTTAATCAAGTGTATTGACTTATCTTTTATAATTGCCATGGTCTTCCTTGAAGCTGTGGCATGTATATTTTCTGTTTGTGTGGGTTGCACTCTATACAGAGATTTCCTGATGTACTCGCAATAGATGCTGAAAGACAGTTTTCCCACATATATGCTCCATTCTACACCAGCTTTTAAAAAAAACACATAAAGGATGAACAATGGTGCATTGCGTTAGGAGATTGCAATTGCTAACACATAGTTGTGCTATTATTGTCTTGATTGGTAATCATCACATAATGTGGTTTGGTGCATTCAAATAATACACTAGTGAATCTGAGCTATACACTGGTCTATAATGATATCAAGGTTGAACCCTGGATGGTGGGAAATCCAGGTTCCCTTCATCATCAATGTTCAGAGGAGAGGAGGGAGGAGCCTGATAGTGTGTGACCAAATCACTGCATCTGTGTTTCTTCCACTTTTCAATATTCACATTACAATGAAGTCTTTTATCTGAGGTCGGTCGACCCATTTTAAATAGTCAGCCCAGTTTCATCCTTCCCATGACCCATCTATTGGTTTGGTAAAATTGTTCCACGACCGATCCTCCGAGGTGGAGGTATCTCATCCATGCATTAGTTTTCTTAACATGAGAGCCTATCTCTACAGCCTCCTAACCTTGAGTATCCCAGGGATCATTGAATGCTGGCTGTCAGAAATGATCGCATTTGCTAAACTTCTCGAAAGCCCATCTGACTCTCTGTCTAAAAGTAACTGGTGATATATTCACTTCTATTACCTTTCTCCCTGACTTGTAAAATTTGCAAGAATGTGTCTTACAAAACAAAGTGTTTTGCGACAAAATTGTAACACCCACGCAGATAGCCTAATCGTTCTATAACATAAACACATATTCCTTGCATCTAAAAAACTTGCTGTGAGATTCAGTACCAACACCAAACTCAGCTCATTGAAGTCTTAATAAGACAATTACCATTAAACCATATGCATATAATCTAAAACTACAGACGA